AAAACTCGTGTATCTGTAAAGAGGCTGCGGCTCCCCGGGGCGCCGCGGCGCACAGTTTGGCAATCACTGTTACGGGATTCTTCGAAATCCAGCTTCTCTTCATATCTCATTATGCATATTGAGCTGGTGTTGTCATTATTCTTTCTGGCTATATGGTCAGTCTTAGCGTAGAGGTCTTCATCTCACCTTTAATGAATAATCTCTAATGGGCTATGCCTTAGTGAGCTTTTGCTTGGGCTTGATTACCTACTTTGACAATATTTCGGGTATCAAATGAAACCTTAGTGAATTTTCATCGGCATCTCAGACCGGTAATCCAAGATCTTGCACCTTTTTGGAAGAAACTTTCCTGTGTATACTATCTTGAGGTATATTTTTTTATTTGAAACTTTTCAGTATTCATTCAACTATGGATTTCAGATCAAACTTATGCCTAAGTTGTTCAATTCTGAATTCATTGTTTGGTAGAATCCATATTTCGATTTTTTTCGACTTTGCATCATAACAATGAAATTTATCTTTATATAGGTTTAAAGATCAGAATAGGATGGCCTTTATTTTATTTAAGGTCTACCGTCGCTATATGCAACTGGTTTTGCAAATAGTTTGGGGTGCCAAATAGACTTGGAAAGACTTTCATCTCAGTACCTCATCTGTCATAGCTATAATGATTTTTTTCATCAATATGACTAATCAAAGTTCTGATTCCGGAAGAAGTCACAACTATGGAAGAGGATGAAATGAGTTGCAAGTTCTTCGAAGTCTGTCTGACGTCATGATCCAGCAGCAAAAGCGGGATTGGACCATTTTTTATTGTTTGATCTTTTGAATTGGCTAGTTTACCTGTTGGGTGCTTCCTCATGGTCTTTGTAGACTTGCTTTAGATGCATCATATTTCTCCTTCGATAGAGACTGGCATATTTGATATTAAAATGCTTATTTTTCTTTATAGAAAGAATATTGTTTTAACAAACCTGATATATCGTTGGGCTAACTTACATTAAGTATTAAAACTGCTCATTTAGCGAGTTTTAGTTCAAATACTCCTGAAAACGATTGCTGACCCCCCTTGGTCTGCTCTAGTTTGATGTTTTTCAGAAGTTTAGGCAGTGGAAGTCATCAAAAATTCTCCCTCAGCTTTTGTGATGTCGTGCTTTCCACCGTTGAATCCATACACTTTAGCAAGAAATTTAAGTAAATTCAACTATATTTTTCTTTTGTCTTGATTTTGATTTATTGTGTTGTGCTTGACATTCATAATAATTGTCAGGTCTCTTCCTTTGATATTAATAATCCTAATTTGTTATTTGTGTTTCTGTTTTAATATTTTCAAAATGTGCTTTTCTTTATATTAATTTATGATTTATAATATCTTACGAATGCTCTTCATCTTGATTGACCTAATTTATTACCACTTAGTAATCTCTTTGCTTCAAGATATCCATTTTTATTTTTAGTTTATCTAATTCTTTCATTATTTGAATTATGTAGGCAGTTGGAGACCGAAACAACCTCCATTTGGTCTACTACTACACTCGTGCCATAGCCTGTTCGCGTTCCTTTCCGGCTGCTTTGCTTAACCAACAGCGAGTCTTCCAACAGATAACCGAAGATCCAGTCGTTTCCGAAGCTAGTCTAAATCCTACAACATCCCTCGCCAAGCTCCTGAATAAACTAATATTATTTCAAGCTCATTTTCGCTTGCAAAATGGTAATTTATTGTTCGTTTTCATTGAGATTAATAATTACTGATCGGAATTGCCGGATTATATGCTTCTCTGTATTCATGTCGGAAGAGCTAATCTTTTCTGATTATGCCTAAGGACTGTCGAGTTTTATACAGCCGACTTATTATAAAGAATTTTTTTCGATCATCAACATTTATTTGTCCTGACTATTCATCTGATGAATTTATTTTTGATAAAAATGCCCAGACTATAATGTAAGTCAGGTTCATTGGATAAATTTAATATGAGATTCTTTCTTGATAAAGGATTCTAAAAAACTTCGATTTAAAATGAACTTCTTGGTCATCCTTGCGCAGCATATGAAGAATATCGTCTTCCCTCATTTCTTTATGGTTTTAATTTAAAGGATATTTTTATTTCATTTTGGAATACGCCGCAAAGTTTTTTTTGTCCGAACCAACCATATGCTGAAGGCTGGTCTTTTGTCTTCTGGGCTTTTGCGGAAGCGGTAGGTATGAAAACCAAGATACTGTGGCCTTCTGCTTGGTTTCAGTCTCCTTAAGCTTTATGGCGTTAGTTTGACCTCGGTTTCGCAACTTGGTCGGAGCGTCAGGGAGACCTTGTGGAACGTACCTAGTCACGTGTCCTCTGCCATAGTATTCGTGGTCTCCAACATACGAACATTGACCATCAGTACATTCACAAATATTTCACCGGCATCGCCATTTAGAGGTGTCATCGCCTCTTTCGAAAGGGCGCACGTACATTATTTTGATTCGGAAGACAGGATTTCCTTGCGCCCCCATTTATCTCAATTGGTCCTTTCTTATTGATTGATTGATTCACAAAGCTCTTATATGCATCTATAACTATGTTTTGGTCGAGCAAATTGTAGGCTACAAGAGAAGTCCTTAGTTTATTGTTTTATTTTTATGAATTCAAAACTGACTTAAGGCCATTTGCATGTAAGTTGCAGTTTAATAGGACCTGTTCTTATTTCTTTCCCATCGATCCTGCTTCTGAAATAAGCATCTACCTGACACTAGGACCAAGTTGTGAAAACAAGGTCACGCAACTTCTATACAGCGAAGGAGACTGCGACCATACTAAAAGTCACACCATCTCGGTCTCTACATCTTTGAGTAAGAGCCTTTAAGCCTATATTATCTGAATCGTTAATAAAAAAATAACATGCAAAAGGTTCATTCAAGCTTATCTAAATACTGCTAGTTGTATTTTCCACAAACAAATGATTAAGTTTTACGATACTCTCGAACCCTGTTCATTCACTATATAATCAAAACTGATATATGAGGAGTGATGAAATTTTGTCTAACACTGCCCGTAAGGATCTTCAAATATGCCCACTTTAGAGTACTATTCAATCTGCCTTAAATGTCATCAATTTGGCTAAAACAAATGCCTTAGAGAAGATAAATAAATGTAAGCTTGAGACCTCACATTAATGACCTTACATTTCTACAACTAATACTTAACATAATTTAACTTTAGTTTGGATAGATATTCATAAATGGTGTAACTCCCTATATATAAATCTTATTTTAAATCGCTAACATTATTCAATTATCATTTTAAAGTCATGGATCCGTATCATTATGTAGAAACCGGCGCCAATTCCCAATTTGAGTTCGCATTTATTTTCATAAGAACATTTCCTGATTTTGATCTTCCCTCTGCATCATTCTGGTAACTGTTATCCTTTCCTTTTCGACGTTCCTTCCTATCACTGGCACTCGCTCTTTCTTCCTCGTCATGGCTCTTGAAGATTCCAACAAGATTTTGACCGCTGCCCGAGATTTCATTACTTCAGTTGACATTTTCACAGCTGCTGATCATCAATTAAACAGGCAGAAATCGCAGGCGACATCTGCTCTCGAAAAAGCCAGTCAGAACATTGCTAGGGAGTCTAGCAACCAAAATATGCCTTTTTCTGCATCACGCGACTTGGTCTGGGCTACCCTACTCCACCTCCACTTGCTGCATGACCACACCGATCGGCTGTCCTCGTCAAGCTCAAAGGCTGTTGTCTTAGGGAATGTGGCCTCAGAGGGCGGAAAAGCGGAGGCCACTCAGGTGCAAAATATTATTGAATTTAGTCCATGACACTAATAAATACATATTTTTTTTAATTTTCGAGCTTTTGTTAGAAAGCAGTGCAAGTCCTACTTGCTTGGAGACCTCTAAGCAAGTAATTTTTATAATTTCACTATATTCAAATTGTCATTACTTGTAACTACGTAAGCCTTCATAGATCGAGCTTTTTAGATGTGTTACTTAAATAATAGGCATTGTCGCACGTAAGCTACGGAAGCCTTTTTTTAGTTTTACAATTTACGGGCCTACATAGTTGGTTTTGACTCTGATACCTCGTTTTGACATGGGATGTGGATTACTGTTTGAAATATCTGGGCTTGTTCTCTAAAATGGTTTGCAATTGTGCTCTTACTCATCGTTTTATTTAACTAATTTAATTATTTAGCCTGATTTACTTTCATATATCTACCAGCTAACATTTCAGATGCCTGATTTGTATAAGACTATATATA